CTCTATTAATTAATTGCATATTGTTTTATATCGATGGTTAACGTACATGCGTGTTAAGTACACATTTATGCATTTTTCAGGAATAACATTCAAAGATCATATATGGCCGACCCCAAGTAGTCGCATAGTATGACGTCACAAGAGTATTTTGTGCGTAACACATGTGTTAACCATCGATGTTAAACTAGCTGAAATGACGTAGATCATGTATTCGCGCTATTTTTTTTTTTTTTTTGGTAGATCACAAAACACAAAAAGTATTGATGGAAGAAGAAACGGGGGAACGACAATATTACTAGACACTGTCGAAAGCGATGAAACAGTGTATCTCACCTCATTCGTAAGAATATTTCGCTTATTTCGATTTCTGTTTTATATAACAAATTATGTTGTTATTATTTTTAAATGTAACATTAGCCTTTATTCAATGTTTAACTATTATTTAGGTAGCAGAAAATAATTAAAACGCGAAAATTTAATGAGTAGTTTTTCTTTGAAAATACGACCTCTTTAATGTTTTGCCATAAATATTTCATGTTATGACTCTATCAATATAACTTGCAGCAATTACATATTTTTCTAAGATTTATGGGATACCTATGTAATGTATAAATTTGTTTTAGAAAACCAATAAGCTACGTACTATAATATTTCGATATTTAAATGCTATTTTGTGTTTTTAGCGTTATTTCAGTAATTTAGTTTATATAGTTTATTTATTTGTGATTTTTAAGCATTAACTTGTTTATAATTAGATAATTAATTTTCGGTGACTGTAGGTTGGGTTTTTAACACAAAAATAGCATATTTTTAATTACGGCAGCTATTTCCACATAGAAGATAAGTCGTCGGAACAAATTTTTTTTTTCATTTTATAATACATAATATAAGCTTTAATTAAATATATGTTTAAAAGACGCAGAATTTCCGGAATATTTTCAAAATTTAGTTTTATAAAGTTAATTTTTGTAAATAAGTTGCTATTTTAAATCCTCCCCTGTGAGCTGGTTAAGGGATAAATTTTCAAAAAAATGATATCAAATGAAAGGAAAATATCTAAGGTTTTAATATATAAGAAAAGTATGTTAATTCGTAATTTTTGAAAAAGTTATTGAAGTTTTAAGAAAAATTGTTTAAAAATGACGAAATTAACCGATTTTAAAAATTGTAATTTTTTTATCATTTTCCTTCATTTTCGAGGAACTAGGGATAGTTTTTCAATTTTTAAGGGTAACTTCTTCAACTAGATACGATTTTTGATCTTTTGACGTAATATTGAAATAAATCGGTCCAGTGAGAGTTGAGAAAAAGTGACAAAAGACACAAAAAAAACACATCATGGTAAAATTAATACCTTCTCAGTTTTGTATCGAAGCTAAATACAATTTGTCTAAATGTATTATCTTAATGTATGTATGTAAATATAATATTATATTATCACTTATCATATTAAAATATAACATGATTTTATCGTTTGTACGAGTAAGTCTTAGCTTCTTAGACTTAGCTAGTCTAGATCTAGGGATGGTTAGACTATCTCCTTCTGACAATAAAAAGCCATTTTTCCCCGTCCAAACAGTTCTTTTGGTAATTTTAAAATACACAAAATCTGCGACTATACTCAAGATTTTCACTCTCTGGGACTTAATCTTTTTTCTAATTTTTTCGGACTTATATATTTTTTTAATTAAATGACACTTAGAAATTTTAAAGTGTATTTTGTTTTGGTGGATCTTTTAGTTTCCGTTCATTTTTTCAATGATAATATTTTATTTACTTATTGTTTCCTTATTATGGAAATAAATATCAAATAATATTAAAAACATTAAACCTTTTTTTGAATTATTTTATTTTAATAATATATTCAACCTAACTTTAAATTTTTATTGAATAGTAAAAATGTTTGTGAACTTTTCTTATTGGGTAGCTAAAAAACAGAGTTAAAGGTCACAATTTTATCAGTTTAAACTAAGACCTAAAATAATTTAATAATAATTTTTTTGGACTCAGTGTACTGCAATTCTATACTTATTGGGTAGCTAGTCTCTGAGCTTTTTGTCTTTGTTTTAATGAACATCGCACCGGCAGACAACACAAAGAAACTTACGAATATATTTTTAGTGTTAAATTTTTGTCTGAATGATTATTGTGCCGCATTCTTTCAATACATTGGTCCACAACAATTCCACCTTGATAAAATGTTTAAATAAATATAAATAACTTTTAATTTTATTTTCGCCAAGCCAAAGGAAGATTTAAGAAATATTGGTGTCGATCTCTCAATAAACTATACTTTCTCGAATAAACACTTATTCAACATAAATAATAAAAATTAAATAAAGATACATTATAAACAATTGTATTTCTAATAAAAATATAGAGTATTTAAAAATTTTTACAAGTAAAATCAGTCGAAAATTTTGTGTAATTAAATCATATTATATAAAATTTGATTCGTTTTCGAAAATAATTATATTATATAAGGCGTTTTGCGAAGCGTATACGTAGTGCATTTAATATCAGAATTAATGTTGGATTACTTTAAATGCTATTGCTAGACATAGGGCATAAAATAAGTACAATTTAACCTATGCATTCGAAACTCAAATAATCTCTTGCGCATAAAACATTAAACGAAATTATAGAACTTTAAGGTACATTTAATACTATTTATTCAACACTATTCAACTCCAAGATACTGATACTTACCTATTTCATGATTTTATCTTTTTCAGTAATTCCCTAGACTCACTACATTAACAATTATAATTATTCTTAACCATTTTTGTTACATTTTTAAAATTTTATTTTCTTTTTTTGTTTTTTTACATAAAAGACTCCTGAAGTATTATTACATTAAAAAAATATTTTGATGTAAATAATCACTGTTATTCGTATTCTTAAAATTTTTTGTTTCAATTCTTTTTTTCGCTACTTATATTTAATTTTAGGTTAAGCAGTATAGTAGTTATACAGGTGGGTAGAATGTAAGTACCTCCAAGAATCTCCCCTACAAAAAAATATTTAAAATATGATTTCAGTGTTAATTATAAATATTTTAAAGAGTTTAATATCAAACCAATAAGTATATTACAAAGAAGGAAGCTGCATTTTCTAAATAAATGTTCAAGCTGCCGATGGCTATGATAAATTGAGATGACTGGGGTAATGAACAACAGAAGAAAATGCAAGAAAAAGAAAATAAAACACATCATTAATAATATTGTAGATATATTTCCTTAATAATTGTTTTAAATATCTATATTATTATTGTTTCATTTTATATTAATAATATTTAAATAAAAATATGTTTATTAATGATTGCTTTCATTTCATATATTAAAAAATATAATAATTTCAGAATTTATTGCAACTACTCATTCCGTAGTAAGTTTACTTTTAATAGTTTTGCTTTCTTAATTAATGTTATAAGCATATTTTTTATTATTATATTTGATAATAATCAAAATAAAAAATAAATGTACTATTATTTAAAATTAAAGTTATATTAATTTAAAACTAAAAAATATTAAAAATATTTCACTCAAAATAATTTACAGTGTTTGAGGCGAGTATGAACATGATTGAGTTTCTATATATTTTTAAATAAAATAATTTGTTCTCGATGTATGAGTACAAGGGTTTTATGAGTAGATGTTAGATATAGAAAAACAAAGTGATGTTTGAAAATTTATTAATATAATAAAAGTATGTAATAAAAATTATTATGATTAATTATCACACATANATCTAATAAGCTAATAATAAATAAATAAATAAATAAATAATAAATAAAAAACCAATTAGCTACCTGTATTTACAATCCCATGTGTATTATACATGTATATTAACTCAAAATTTTGAAACTTTAAATGTTTATATCTAATAAGCTAATAAAGTTATATTAAAAATTCAAATGCCATTTACTATTAAATTAAAAACTCAAACATTTTATTAAATTAAAAATATGTGTTACCATTTAAAAAAACAAAGTTGACTCCCCTCCAAGGCATAAGGGATGAACTTAAAAAGTATTACATAGTTAAAAATTCAAGAATAATGTGTAACTAAAGATAATAAAAAAAAAAATTGTTTAAATTATTATTATTCTGTAAGTAATTGAGTGGGTTATGATAAAAAAATCACCCTGTATACATTAAAGATGCAACTTATGCATGTTATTATACTCAATAGGAGGTTTTATGTGAATAATTTGCCTAAAAATCTCTATGGTAGGAGGTATAAGAATGTTAAGTTATTTTTTTTATTAAAAAAGTAAAGTTAAAGAAAATATAGAAACATATAAAAAAATTATTATTTAATTTAGATGAGCATTTTACAAATAAAATAGAATGTTCAGTAAGTAAGAAAAAGTGTTTTTATTGCTCTTATTGTTTGTAACAATTTATCCGTTTTCTTACCTACTGAACACTCTGTATAATAATAATAATAATTATACATATTATCAATGCCAGATTTAACCAATGTGCCATTGTAATCACTAAATAATTGACCGCATATTTAAATTAATATTTTTTATATAAAATGTGATATTCGATAATATAGAGATAATCTCCAAAAGATTTTTCATTAAATTTAATGGAATATGAAAATTTAATATTGCTCTCTTAAAAAATAATAAATCAGTTGATACGCTTGTTCAATCTTAAATTCTCAAAATGATACTTAACTAACAAAATAAGAGAAAAGTAATATAAAAGTCAGAAATGAAGATAATATTATGTAAATATTGAGTAATAAAAACATAAATTGAAATGTACGTATAACATCTAAAAAATAATTAGTTTTTATCAAAGAAAAGAAATTTCAAAAAAGATTTAAAGTAAAACAAATTACTTTCAAGCTCCTCATAAGAGCTAAAAACGCGATGTATAATCAACATAAAGCATTAGTAATAATGAAAAACAATAAAACATATTACAATACGTTATAGCTATAGAATATTTTTAATTAAATTAAAGATTTATTTTAAATAAAAATAAATATTACTCTTCCTTATTGGCAAAGTAATTTCTTGCGATTCTTTTTATAAAAACATTCATATCATCACAATTTTCAAGTTCACCAAGCAGTGCTTTTTTAAAAAATTCCCTGTTCAATAATATTATATACATTAAAGATGCAACTTAGGCTTGTTATTATACTCAATTGGAGGTTTTATGTGAATAAATTGCCTAAAAATCTCTATGGTAGGAGGTATAAGAATGTTAAGGTATATTTTTTTTTAAAAATGTAAAGTTAGAAACATATAGAAACATATAAAAAATGTATTATTTAATTTAGATAAGCATTTTACAAATTATACAGGGTGTTCAGTAAGTAAGAAAAAGTGTTTTTATTGCTCTTATTGTTTGTAACAATTTATCCGTTTTCTTACCTACTGAACACTCTGTATAATAATAATAATAATTATACATATTATTAATGCCAGATTTAACCAATGTGTCATTGTAATCACTAAATAATTGACCGCATATTTAAATTGATATTTTTTATATAAAATGTGATATTCGATAATATAGGGATAATCTCCAAAAGATTTTTCATTAGCTTAAATGGAAAATAAAAATTTAATGTTGCTCTCTTGAAAAGTAAGGAATTGGTTGATATGCTTCTTAAATCCTAGACGATCAAAATGGTACTTGGCTCACAAAATGTAGTAAAGTAAAAATTGAGTAATAGAAACATAAATTCACAGGTACATATGACATTTAAAAAATAATAAGTTTTCACCAAGGAAAAGAAATTAAAAAAAATTATTTAAAGTAAAACCAATTCCTTGATGATATAGGCATTACAATTTGTTTTAACTTAAAAAAATTTATTTAAAATATAAAAAAAATATTACTCATCATCTATGCGATAGTATTTTCTTGAGACTTTTTTAAATAAATGATCGATATGATCAAAATCTTCAATTTCGCCATATTCTTTTTTTTTTAATTGTGCCCTGATCTGTAATATTTTCAACATTACATCACCGATATCGTATATATGCTGGCCTAAAAAATATAAAAACGAAAAAGAATAAATAGTTTTAGCTTCAATGCAAATCTGAGAAGTTATTAATTTTACTATGATGTATTTTTTATTTTTCTGTGTCTGTCACTTTTTTTTTCAGCTCTCACTGAATAGATTTTTCTCAACCATACATCAAAAGATTATAATCTTTTAATTATAATTTATCTTTTATAATTATAAACCGTATCTAGTTGAAGACATTACCCTCAAAAATTGAAAACTTTGCCCTCATTCCCCGTAAATTGTGAATATCCCCCAAAAAATTATGATTTTTAAAATCGGCCAAATTGACATTTTTTAAACTTTTTTTTTTAAATTTTTATAACTTATTAAAAAATGAACAAATCAAAATAATTTTTTTTATATTGAAACCAAAGATGTTTTAACTTATCTTTTATGTGAAAATGGTTGTCTTTAATTTAAAGTTTTTTAATTCAATTTTTGAACATTTTCAGGAAATATTGATACTTTTCTTTAATCTTAAATTAAAGCTTATGTAGTATACTATACTATAAAAAAAAATTTCGGAGATATAGTGAACATAGGTTATCTTATTCAAAAATGTGCTTTTTTGTGTTAAAATTCTTGATATTATATTTTAATTTATTTTAATATATCATATAATGGGGTACACATATTTTCATCAATATTATTTAATTATTCTATAAATAAAACTAATTGACCTAAAATATAACGTTAAACATATTTCAATTTTTTTTCATTTTGAGTCGAAAAAATTATTTTGAACATTTAAATCAGCTTAAATTCCAATTTTATCAAAAAAAATTGCAACGAATGTTTGCCTGTAGCAATGATTTTTTTGAAATTTTTCCTTAATTATTTTTGAGTTAGAATTTCGCTTTTGAATAATCCACCAATTTCTTAAAATTAAACACTATCTACAGATTTACATCCAAGCGTTTCTTATGATAGCGATTTTAATCACTGTCAGATATCATCTATACTACTCCCTAGTATAGATGATACTAGTATATATGGGACAACTATGCCTCGACCCCACTGTGCTACAATTTTTTTTTTTAAATAATTTGTTAAATAATTACTGTTACCATCATTAATTTTATTTTTCAATTCAGAGACAGCTATTTCGATAATTTTTCCGTCTTTTTCTTCCTAAAATATACAAAAACCTTTTATTGTATAACATTTAAGTTGAAGAGGGTATTAAAATACAAAAGTATTTATGGTTGTAAAGAGCAAGTAAAATACTCTCCCCCTGCGAAATCATGTGCGATCAATTTTTTTTGCTATAAAAATTATACTTACATAATATTTTTTTTTAACAACCACAAAATACTAATAACAGGTAACTAGTATTATATTAATTTAGATTATTAATTTATTATATTTATTGATAACTCTAATGTTTTATTTTCGATTACAAGTAATTCATATACTATGTTTATTGAGTAATCCAGTCGAGGTACGGTCGCACTAGTAAAGATAAGTTAAATGTCCAAGCGCACACCAATATTTCACACTAACAAAAGTATGTTGAGTCAATCGAAGGGTCACACCGATTGAATTAATCAAGGCATACACACACACCAATATATATATATATGTACCCAGTATGTGTGTAAATATATAGATATAAATATGTAAATATATATTAAATAGATATTACCACTAGTAACGTCACACAATTCACAATTGACTATGGCGATGTGCCGAACTAAAAACAGGAAAATAAAAGAGCACACAAACCAGGAAACCACAGGAAGACCGACCGGTTAAAGTGTACGTCGTAAATGCAACAGAACGCAATATCAATAATACATATTCGGCGGCGACCTTATCTCGGAGTAAAGGGCGGGAAGACAACCGATGACAACCGACTGTCATATTAATAGCTTGACGGCTGATATCGAGAGAGACACGGGCGAGCGCCAGCCTAAAGCAAAATAGGCGGTGCCGTGTCATGTTAAAAGTAATATATCTTAGATCATTGTAATTAAAATATCAACTCTTTACAAACTGTAATCATGATTATTGTTCTTTAACTCATATTTTGTAACCATTTCTTTCTAATTAATTAAATAATTAAACAAAAATTAGATATAAATAAAATATCATTAGACCTTAATCATTTTTTAAGTATTGGTCCGTAAGTTGCTATAACAAAAGTGTACTGAACAGGAATTACAGGAAAAATTATTTTTTATTAAACGTACAAATATAAAAATTGTTTTAAATCTATTATTTTCCATATATAACATAGTATAACATAAATTCGTTATGTTGTTCGAAAAATATGTTTTTTTTCGTTTATTCATACATATTTAGCATTAAAAAGTATTTAAATAATAAATCACATCGCTTATTTAATTAATTTTAATCCTCATTCATACATTTTACGATCATATTTTTATTCTTAAATACTATTATTATAAAACGGGCACTGAAAGTTTTCTTCTTATGTAAATAATTGAAAATATTTTTAAATAAATTTATAATTACGATTCTAAAAAGATCACTGTATCCAATTGAATCAATCAATTTAATGCAAAGGCTTTTATCAATCCGACCATCGTTGTCTGTGTCTAAATCGAAGAATTTTGTTGAGATATTATTAAAGTCATATAGGTACAATTTTTCTACCTAAAGAATATAAAGTCATTTATTAAATGATTCACATAAAAAAAAATTAAATTAATAATGTCATTTTACATTTTTTGCATCATCACCACATTTTGCAACATTAACCAAAAATTTCAATAACTTGTAAAACCTTATTGGTAATGGATCTATAAAATATTAATACCTTAAATAGAAGATGATAAAAATTTCATTTTGCACACTTTTTCACAAAAATTATTGAAAATATAAAAAATTTTCCAAGTAAAAAGTTTTTGTCACAACTTATAACATTCTATTTTGTTACTTCGTATTAAAAAATATATATTTTAAGGGGTTAACTTTAAAAAACAATTAGACCAGTATTGTGTTTCCCTCAGCCGTATATATGTTATCAACCTATATAGAAATGTATCATGATCTGAATGTATCTGAATCATAATTACACGGTGGCCTTATGATAAAGTAAGTCTCTAAGACACTTCGCGTCGCGGGTTTTAATCTTGTAACGTGCCTCACATTCAAATCATTTTCACATGATTTCCTGTACACTTTTAATGACTGCCCCTCAATCTCTGGTGAGTCACAGTGTTTTAAAATTCTATAAATTATTATTCATTTTAAAAATAATATTACATAAAATATATCTGATATACATATTATTTGTAATGAATCAAAATAGAAGTTTCAAAATTTTCGAGAAACTTCTAAAATACACTTAACACATAAATAATTATCAATTTTAAATACTTTTCTGGCCGACAATTATTTTATTACTTTTTACAAATACATCGTTCATTTGGAGCGATGTTTACATTAATGTCCATCTTTTTAATTACCATAAGCGTATCTGTGGCGCCGAACAGACGGCAAGATTAAATAGTTAAATTTTTAAGAAAAACTAGCCTCCCTTCATTACCTTACCAACTAATTTAATATAAAAGGGCTAGCAAAATTAGCACACACACTCTCTTTCCATTTTATCTCTCGCATACTCTCACTTTCATTCTCACTTATTATTCCCCCATGATCTTACACTTTCATATTAAAAGTTAATCATGTAAAATTCACGTTACTTTTGTTAATTTTAATCATAAGACTTATATACATTTGTTAAAATAATTAATACAAATCATAGAAATAAATTCAGCATGTTGCCCCTCATATCAGTATTTTTATTTATTTAATTTAACTTAAAATATTGACGTCAACAAGGAACATCACAATTCACCATCTACCTACGAGTCCATTTGGATATCAAGGTAAGTGTAGTCGTAAGACATGCACTATATTTATGTAATATTAAGAAATAAGATAGAGTGGGTAAGTGGTAGGATTAAGATGATATGAATGAATCTAACACAATCTAAATAACTTATAACCCCCTTTTCCTTACCATCTCTACCTCCTCACTTCCTACCCACCATCCCATTATTTTCTTTTATTACATATTCTAGTACTAACTGATTTCAAAATTGATGCTAGATAACATAGTTAAGATATTTTGGTGACCTTAGAAGCATTATTGTTGTTAATATTATTTTATTGATGTATTGATTAATGTATTTCTACATTATTCTAGTGTTATATCGAGTTATATACATTTCGAGATTGCTAAATACAAATTTGATATCAGTTTTTGAATTTTAGATTTTAAGAAAAATTCCTTGTAGACCAGTGTATTTATTAAAAATGTACAACAAATTATTTTCTGAAATATGGACTTCTCTGGTTGTTATATTAAGCTCTTTCAATTTAATACACGTTTGCCATAGGGGTAAAAAAAGAATTACATAAAAATTTCACCGTAAAAATTACAATAAATAAATATAGTTTTAAAAAACTGAAAAACACGCTTTTAAAGCATATCAAACTAAAAAGTTAAAAATAATTTTAAAAATAAGCTAATATAAGCGTGTTAAAAATATTGGATTTAAATTATGTACTGAATTAAATTTTTATAATATCATCGGCATAATTGACAAATTATGTATATTCAAAATGGTTTAATAATAATTAATACAATTATAAATCATAAAAATAGTAAGCAGAATATAATTAAGGAAATAGGAGTTGATGTTGCTTTGGAAATAATCTAACAAATGCTTATATTCGTGCCGTTATCATGCTATTAAGCGATAGCAATACAATCTCTTCCAACAACTCAAGTTCCTCAAAATTTCATAAATCGATATGTCAATTGAAAAATTGATTCAATTAAAAAAAATACTCCCCAGATCCCTCTAAAAATTACTCAAATTAAAAGGGTCATTCGATCATTATGTCCGTTGCCAATAAATGAGGATAATAAAGAACACTGATCTTAAAATTATTTTATAATTATTTATAGCGTTTACCAATCGCAAGTTTATTTTATTTTTTACCTGTAAAAAAATGTATGTGTTTGATATTGGGTAAAAACAGGTGATACTTTGTTATGAAATAGGTAGGGGGCGGCGCTACGTAGTTTTTTGTTTGTAGGTGTTATAATTTAAAATTAGAAAATAAAAATCTGTTAATGGCAAAAGTCGGATTGGGGTGTATATGGTGAGAACCTGATGTTGTGGTTCTATCGGGGTCGTATGGTTTGGGGGTTAGAACAACAAAGACAAGTAGATATAAAAATAATAGAAACAGTAGCTTTAATTGAGGTGTAATACATTTTTGTCTGGTTAGTTTCTAATGTATTACCTAAAAGGCAACGAGATGGCAGAGCCAGTTCAAGAATACCAGAGCCTAACTTATACAGTAGAAATCACGATAGGTTTTTTTTTTAAACATCTTTAAGGCAACGAAAAGACGGTGGACATCTCACGAGTACCATGTAATGTGATTATGTATAAGGTACGCACTATTCAGTAATAATTAATTATAGTTCAAAAATGAACATAAATATATCATCTATTGCTTTATCATTCTTTACACAGATTATTAATTCTAAATAATTGGCTTAATATGAATTTAATTACTTCTTTTATATAGTTTCCGTAAAAATTTATAATGCTCCTTTTATATAAATAAATGAAGTCTTGACGCAATATAATTATATTAAATATCGTCTTAAAATACATCGACGACAACACGGGGTCGCGGCTAGTTTGAGAAGAATAGATAAGACAAAAGAATTCTGAATTCTATTTTGAATTCAGAGCTTCAAAAGTGGAGAAGAGCCACTCGCTGACACGCTCGCTCACAGATGTGCAAGCAGATCTAAGCCTTTTTATATTATTTTTAATTAGCCCCATGATGGGATGTTGTCGTCAGTGCTTTTCTGTTTGTTATATTAAATTAAACATAACATGATTATTATTTAAAGATAAGATAATGCAAAGCATTGAGCATATTACGGCATAGGTTAGTGGTAAATCGGACATCGAATGGTAAGTAGGGCGCACCTACGCGCACATAAAATTTATTTCGTATGTAAAATGTAAAAGTTATGTTATATAAAAATACAGTACACATTAGTAATGGAATATTGATTTTATAATTGCTTGTATAAATTATTTATACTGTTTACCAATAGCAAGTTTGTAATGTTATTTTATATTTGTAAAAAAAACGGTAGCACAGTGGGGTCGCGGCATAGTGGAGACATTGCATAGTTGGGTTCAGTCTAGATTTAATCTGACAGTGATTAAAAATGTATGCATACATACGTTTATAAAATGCTATTAACTATCATATTGTATATTATAAAATTAATTATTATTTGCATTTGTGTTAAAATTTTTATTTTATTAACATTGTTGTGCAAAAAAAATCGAGATAATTCGTATTAATTGTTCATTTGTTTAATTTGTAATTTATAACTATTTTTACTTATTATTTGTATAATTTTAGCATAGCATAAAATTTCCGGGGGTATATTATGGCCAATTGCTTTATGTTTTTTGTGTTTATTATCATTCACAGGTATAGGTAATAACTAGATTGATAACGGCTGAAACCAAAAATCTACGATATTTTTTGAGGCTAAACAATTTTATATTTATCCGTGTTCAAATGATTTTATTGCCAACAACTTCTTCGGTCCGATAACAAAATAATTTGTACACGAAGTATCAGTCAAAAAAATGTTTTGCTTCAAAAAATATTGCGGTTATTTAGCTATTTAGCTTTACTGGTGAACACCGTTGTTTGTTCTCGATGCTTATAGTGATGACTTAAAAAATTAAAAAATTGAAGCGATATAACAAAAATGTATATATCGTCGTTATTGTGGCTTAAATTAAAATTAATTTAAAGTATTTATTTAAAACTAAAAAAAAATAAAAATTATTTAGTTAAAAAAACTACAAAACTTACTAAAAAATCGAGTTAATTTTTTTTACGTATTTTTAAAAAAATTATACCATCATCAGTGCTTAACCTATACTAAATATATTTCAGGATCAACGTTATCTCCTAGTCGATTGACATACATTGTCAATTTACACTAGTTATAAGCACAGGAGTGGTGGTTAGCACTAATAATGGCAATAATGTTCTTGAAATACAAAAAAAGATTGCAATTTTTTAGTATCATTTGTTTCTTCTGAGTTATATTTTTTTAATACTAAATTAATATTATTATTTAATTGATATTTTTTAAACCGCAAAAATGTTTGTTTGCGTTTTCGATAAACAATTAATATTTAATGTTTTATTTTTATTAATAAAATATTAAAATTGTGTATTTTATTTTATAATTTTTTATACATTTACAAATTCTTTTAGTTTTGTATAAATTATAATAATTGGAATTATAATTATTATAAGTTAGTAACAGTTTTAACTAATTATTACCATGAAAAAAAAAAAAACAATTTTTTTAATACTGAAATGAATTTATCAAAAAGCTTCTTTTTTTACTAAAAAAAATGAACAGACAGGAGTTATTAGGTTTGTTTAAAAAGTGTTAAAAATAGTAATTCAATATAATTACTAATAAAATCATTCAGTAGGTATGTATAATATATATTATAAATATAAATATGGGTATTTTTATATTTTATTTTACTTTTTTAATTTTTAAATACATATATCATATTCACATGTATATATTTTCATTTTAAAGCAGGTGGAGTATTTTAACTAATGGATATATTAAAATATCACGGTAAAAATAATTGAAGCTAAAAATTATACGAATTATAAATTACCTTCAATGTTAAAATCATTGTATAACTTTTCGATACCATTTTCTATTAAAACTTTTTTAATGATTTCAATATTTGGATGATTATATATCAACTTTTGATAATGTTTTATTTGAGGGCCATTAAGTCCTACGCACTTTAAATATTTCAATATTATATTAAATGAAAAAATATATTTATTGTTAAAATATAAATTAATAAATATTTACCTTTGTGCTGGTAAAAAAACATGCTAAACAAATAATAAGTTTAGTTTTTAAATGCATGACAATAATATTTTAATTTAAGAAACCAACAACTTAAAAAAATTAATTAAATGTTTAAATTTTATCTAAATAATTTTACGAATGTCTTGCAATTTATACTAAAATAAAGTAAATATTAATTATGAATTTTAAAATAATATTATTTGCAAAAAAGAAACAATATAGATTATAATGTAATAAACATTATCACTGACACGCTTCAAAACAATTATTTTTATAAAGATATTATGTAAAGTTTATATTACCATTTAAAACATAAAAAACACGGTAAAAATTTTATAAATCTTGAAATGTTTTGATGCAAAGCTGAGAAGTTATTAATTTTATAATGATGTGTTTTTTTTGTGTCTGTTACAACTTTTTCTCAGCTCTCACCAAATCGATTTATTTCAACAATAAATAGGGAATATCTCAATAAAAATTATAATTTTGAGAAAATATGTTATTTTAAAAAATGTAGATATTTTTTCTCTTAACCCTATCATAACTTTTTGAAAAATGGAAGTACCAAAATAATTATTTTTTGTATAGAAACATTAGGTATTTACCTATCATTTTGTATAATTTAATATATAAATACAAACCCTGTGGGTAAGGATTCTAAATGACACCTATTTCACAAAATTTAATTTTTTCAACCTAACTTATGAAAGTATTCCGAAAATATTGACACTTTTATATATATATATATATATATATAAGAAAACGCTATCTTTTCAATATACTTTTGAATGAGAGTGATAAGTAATAATTGCCTTATCTAATTTCTTATCATGGTATTAATGCCATGTTTGTAATGTATACACAATATCATCATATGTATACACAGTAATCATGAAAAGATAGCGTTTTGTTCTGTCCTTTTCTCAATACGTATTTCAATGTTTATAACCGTAAAATAGTACATGAAAATACAAATTTTTACAAACTTCAAAACGCTACAGAATATTTACTACTGAATATTAATAAGATATTTTTTTACTAAAATTTTTCTTAAATTCTACTCTACAAAAAAGCTATCTTAGATTTTTTTTTTACATTTTATTTAAAATTTAAAAATAATTAATATTTTTAATAAAATGTAAAAAAATTAATTATTGAGATATAGCTATAGACCTAACGTATAACTATTATTTAAAAAAAAAATCAACTAAAAATATTAACTGGATCAAAAGTTATTTAAGTTGTCAGTGAGTGGTGGGCCACTCTGTATATTTTTTTATGATTTCTCCGTAAAAATTACAATACTAAATTATTAAATATCAATTTAATGGTATATTTAATTACTATAAAAAATATTTATACGTATATTACACTTATAAATCATAAAACTCTACGTTATTTACGTGATCAACATTTGGTGAGACAATTATTTTCTCAGAAACTATTAAGAATTATTCATTTTTGTATAGAGGAAAAATATTAGGTTCAAAAAACTCTACAGTAATATATCGTTAAATAATTTTTTACTTTCTTATTTAAATATTCTGTATGAGAATCCGTATTGTTTAGTAGAGAACGCCTTTAGAAAATAACTAATGGACCAGTTGTCACAAACGCCGTATAACATATTATATCGTGGATAGAGATCAGCGTCTTTGTTTTACTCACCCCCTTGCCAATCCTGTATGGTTAATCGATGGCTGTATATTGTCTATTTTTTTATAGCAAGCCAATTCGCCTGAATAGTAATTAGTACGGGCATTATACGTCATATTTTTTATGATTTATTTATTGCACTCTTGTGCTCAAAGTTCTCGTGCCCTTGCACGTCTCCAGTGATTGGGCCCTGACTATCACTAAATGACCTCTTTGTCTTAGTCCTTTTCCGCCGTCTGTTTTCATCTACCATTATGTGACTGGATCTAAACTCTGATTTGCCATACTCAGATGTTCGACACCATTACCACTTCATCTTTTCAGCTGAGTTTTATATTATTTTTTAATGTTATTTATTGTTGGTTTTAATTGAGATTAACTATTTTGTTTTATGCCGCTTCGCCGGCCATTAGTCTTTAAAGGCCCCCGTTACGCTTTAAATTTAAGATACTCTCTGAAGAATTTCTATTATATGTGGTTATTTTTTATTTAGTTATTGTCTACTCTTTTTACTTATTGGATTTACGAAGGATTCCTATTTGAGAAAAAAAGACTCATTTAACTACAATTTATTGAAAAGTTTTTTTAAACTGATATTTTTTTTGCTATAAAAATTTATAATTCTTAAATGTTTCTGATAAAATCAGTGTCATAACAGATTAGATTAACCCAACCGCAATATTAAGCGAAGATTATTATTATTGTGTTTATCTTTTCGGTATGTTTATTTTTTGTTAAAATAACCTGTTGTCGCTCATTTAATAAACGGCCCACGGGTCATAACCAGTGTCGACCACATTTTTGCGACGTAAGTCGTGTCAAACTTTTCGAAATTTATTTTTACAATATTTAATTTTTCATCAAACTCCTATTTATTTTATAAAAAATTAGATAACAAATTGCACGGAAAAATATTTAACCTTACTACCCCGCTCTCTTCTTGTTTATATCTACAAGTGATAATATATTTAAAAAAATATATTCAAAACTATTTTTATTTATTTATGAAGCACTAAACTGCGTCAATGGTTGTTGTTTGAAGATAAATAATCATAACTCATATTAACAATAATAAGTTATTTTTATGTTAAAGACAAACAAATAGTTCAAGTATGAGGCGCTTACCCCTATGTCCTCCCCATGATCCGTTACTAAAATTCAACTGTAATTTGAAATATTTAATAAAACTTCATAAAAACATATTTTAAATATTATAATTTTATATTACTTAAATAATTTTTTAGGAGAATTTTATCAACATATTTCAACCTAAGTAGGTGGAACAATGCAGAGTAAAAGTGTCTAATAATAAAAATAGCCACGCCTACGCTTCAACCCTTGTCTATATTTTACAATAATAATACCTTTTGAAATAATCAATCATATTCGTAATTAGATTATATTCATAAGTACATAATGATTGTTTTTTTATTCATTACACAATAAAGTGTGGCTAACGTTAAAAAATCATGGGTATTGATTACTACATTATTTGTAGCTAATTATGTTATTCATCATTTGCTTATCTGTAATTTTTTAGGGTTGGGTTGGGTGGTTTAATACGTTTGGGTTGGGTTTTGTATAAAAGTTTTTTACCAGATTTATTTTATTATAATTTTTATTCCATTATTGTTAATCAATAAAATTTTATTATTCCAACTGCCTTCGAGTGGATCCGTACAAATTGTACCAAATGTCCTGACACATGGCAATATGTGGCAACGTTTTATTTTTATTCTCTCACAACTATTTTAATCATCATCTACTTATCTTTATCAACTATTTACCAATAATATATATTGTTTTTTTTCTGTTGTTACTTCATGTGCTATTTTCTACGCTTTTGTATCAAACTAAACTGAAATAAAATATATTTATTACTCTGGACCTATATCCAAAATCTAATAAGTTACAAAAATCGAGAATTCTCAAATTTCTAAGTCATTAAGACTAAGCTCAATATTTTATCGATTTTAAACTTGAGATATTTTTCTTTTTTTGATGTTAAATTATTAGGTAAATAATAGTCTATGATAGTATTTCTAAAATTTTATCGTTTGTTGTTTGGCTTCCAGATTTGATAAACAATTACTCATTTGTTTTTATTAGTTAGTTAAAATTAAAAATTTGTTTTTTAATAGGAATCGTATTTTATTATTATGAACTAGATTTATTATGTTGTTTGTATGTTTGACTGAATTTGCAACAACACTTGATGTTTTATACGAATCAAAAATATTTTTATTTTAGTAGAGGAAAATAATATTATTTTTGTTATATAATTTTTTATTATTAAATTAAATATTATGAAAAATGAACTAATGATATTTTATGAGACAGCTATACGTAGGACGGCTAGTTTTGCACCACACTAGAATACCGTCTTGCTATAAGTCTGTTTACGATCGCTAGAGGTGTGGGTGGGAGGCCACCTCAGTGGATGTCGGAAAATCGCACATCCAATAATGATGTTTAAAAAATCTCTTTTGTATTTTTTAGTTTCATACGTACATATCTCAATTTATCAATTATAATAATTGTTTTAATTCATCTGTTATACCTTATAATGGTGTCAACTTTGTTTATTTTTAATAACAACGTATACATTAACTAGCTAATAAAATAAAGAATGATCCAACTAAGATAATAACCCAACCCAACCCAACCAAACAATTATTGAAATAATAATTCAGAAGTTATAACTATTTGAAAATGGTGAAGTGTGGGTTATTTTATTTTTATCATTACGCATTACTTTATCATGTTCTTCCTCTACTCTATATTTAAAAATATTAATCACTTTTGAAGTACTATCTCAAAATTGTTTTCGACCAGTCATTATCTTAATTACATCATATTTTATTTTATTAACTTATTAATATGTATGTTGCCTTTATAAAAAACACAGTATAGTGGGGATGTGACAAAGTTGGAACAAGTATATATGATATCTGGCAGTATAATAAACCGGCATGAGCAATATTTTGGATATCGAGCTAACAAAATGATACAGAAATAAAACATTCCTGGTCGAAGCGGAAGACATCACATTTGCATTGAAATAAATAAAAAATAATTTGCATGAGAAAAACTCATTGTACAAGCTGAAAACCCGCAAATAAATGTACTAAACTATCAAGATTACATAGAAATGTAATCTTGATTACATTTCATCGTACTATCTCTATCTCTATCTACATCAAATTTGAAAAATATGCATTTGAAAAAAAACTGCTGATACAAAAGTTATTTCTAATTATATAATATATACTATATTATCTCTTATTATTTTACAGATTTTGTTTACATTGTGTGCAGAAGTCATAGTTGTACTGCCATTTATAGTGGTAAAATCATCTATTTGATAAAAGCAAACCAATTGAAGTAGAACTAGTTAAGAAAAACTTATGTTTTTACGAATATTATAGCCAATATTATGTCAGAATTAATCATACTTTAAGAAACCAAAAACACATATTTTG